TCACCCGGTCGTTTGGTGAAGCCGGGCAAGAACAAGAACGAAAAGACTCTGTTGGATGCCAAGTATGGTGTCTTCCTTGAGCAGTGTCGCACGCAGCAGGAGTACCGCAAGAAGGTGGATAAGGCTCTATCTTCGTGGCCTGAGGCGCAGAAGGCCTAAGGTTCGAGGCCAGGGTCGCAAGTCATGCGGCGGCGAACATGGACGGAAAGGCGGGTTGGTTTATACAAGGATGGGGTGTATGATGGGACATTTGATGATATAATAATGACACTCTCTCATGACGACGACCGCATTGTTCACTCACTTCTAGACTTGTGGTTGACAGGATGAGCGCGAATGGACATGAAGGACGAGCGGGATCAATTTCTAATTAAGTGTTAGTTCCTGGTCTCGGCTGTTCTGGAATGAGCTCCCTTGACCTACCTGACCTACCTATATTATAACGTCGTCATCTTATGGGTGGTATCGAAACTTTCGGACACGGACGGATGCAGAGTCTATTCTCGGGGAGTGCAGCACAAGAGATGCAGCAACTGGAGGATTTGTTTTCTCGCCTATGTTAATGAGGAGTCGAACGATTTTTAGAAGGCAAGGATGATTTCTTACATTCAATGCAGTGGACGATGAGATGCAGCAGCGGCATTGTCGAGATGAAGTGGTTGGGCACCACAGCGTCATGAGGCAGGAGTACAGGGCCCCAGCCACTGACTACCGCATCTTTCTTCAGCGGGTTCCAGTGGCTCAAGCTCACCGCCTCAACCCCATCGTCATCCCTTTCCTCACCAAAGGAAGGGGGGAGTCCTCTAGGCATCCATCCCGGACCATTCACCACGACCACACCACATCACTCGTTCGCACCACATCTAGCCTCCCTCATCAGCCTGACAATCCGCATCCATACATCACCCACCACTCATCGACCACAGCTACTGATCAGCTGCATCAGGTGGCGGCGGCCCATTCGTCCCTGCATTTTCCAAGAAATCCAAGAAACGAACCCTACTTCTTGGCCATTCCCTCGTCACTCGTCACTCCTCAGCCAGCCAGCCAGTCAGCCAGTCGGCCACGTCCACCATGTACATATCGCCAGATTAATTGAATTCCATTCCATCCTCGGCATCCTCGCCCTCTGCGACAGAACCCGCACTCGCTGTCGACTGCACCGACAATGCTTTGTGCCTCGAACATCTTTCTATCGATATCCCTCCGAAACTCAGCCGCATCAAGGGCAGCAACGACAACACACCAAAGACGATTTAGGTTCATGTTTCGACTCGGCCTGTGACAAACGAGATAGGCTCATTCCATGTACGCCTCGCGATTGCGCAGCCACAACGTCTGACGAATTCTCCCATCTTTTTGCCCCTAGACCACCCAAACGATTCTCAAAACATTGACTCGCAACCTTGGCTGCCTCATTCATTTTGCATTTCTTTACAGTAGGCTGGTATTCACATATTGTGCTTATTTCCTTTTCTTCCACAACCTTCCGGCTACATCCGCCATGACCGACCACGACACCAAGGAGACGAAAGGCTTCTGGGGCGCCCTGTTTCGGAGCAAAAGTCTTGCGCGGAGAACGGCCAAAACAGTTCGTCTCTCCCGTCAATGTACACCCATGCCGCACAGCTAACCGATTTCCCCAGGACCCTGAACCCCGAAGAGCCAGCGAGGGCGAGGCGAGACCGCGCAGGCGCCGCTCGTCGCCACCTGATCGCCGCCGTGACTCTGACCGCGACTCACCACCGAGCAGCACGTCCCGCAATCGCCCCCGCCGCTCCGGCTCCGGCGCCAAGAGCCGGGACCGTGATGCTCACCGCAATGACAGCCTCCGACAAAGGCCACCACTGACCTCCTGGCCCCCTTCCAACTTGGGCAGTCGGGAGGAACTGAAACTCGGGCACGCCATGGAGCTCATCTCACGAGGCGTGCCCGCACACAAGGGCCACAAACGACCCATCCCCCATGCCTCAGACCACTACTACGCGCTGTATACCACATCTGCCGGGAATCACGGCGACGAGACTGACACTGCCAACCCGCACGATTCCATGACCCAGTTCATGACTTTGCGCATTCAGGGGTCGGGGTCTGGCCGCTCCGACCCCGCGGCGTATCCTTGGGATACTCTCGAACAGCCTTCGTATGCGTTCCACTTTGGTCGGCTCCCTGGTACCATCACCCTCAACCAGTGGGCCTCCTCGTCGAGTAATCTCCCTCCTACGATTGCATTGCGCGACTCGGGTATACAGCCTCGCAACGTCGATCTGCCTACCATATTCGCACGTCTGAAGGAACTTGAGTCCTCCCGCAGCATCGACGACAACGAAGAGCGCATGTATCGCAGTCTATATCGCCGCTTCCTTCGCGATCCAGATCGGAACACTCCGAACCCACACCGCACCCTCGACCGCCAGATCACCGATCTCATCATGGTGCTCTCCCGCCCCTTGCACTGGACCGACTTCTCCGATCCACGCCACCAGGTCGCCGCTCGCTTCATTTTCGACACGGACCCCGCTAATGCCGACCGCTACCTGCGCTTCTGCCACCAGCTGCTACTCGCTCTCGAGCTCGAGGTCCGCATCCAGGCCCGCTCTCACGGCGAGTGGGCCAAGGAGAAGCTGCTAACACAGCTGCCACCCAAGATACGATGGGATCTTGCTCTCGCCAAGCGCTGGCGCGAGAACGTTCGTGTTGAGTCATGGGGCCGTAACGCGGCTGACATTCGACTCCGCTACAAGCTGCGCCGGCGACAGATGCGCATGCTCAAGCGCTTTGCTCAGATTATGAAGTGGCCCAACCTTGCCGAAACGATGGACCATATGCGCCGTCGCGACGCCGACGACACACTCGACCTCATCTCATCCGATGCTCTGGCGTTCTTCAGTGGTTTCATCCTGCCCGGCGCAACGTTTCCCTTCCTCATCATGAACACCTTGATTGATGTCGATCCTGACCAGACTACGGACGCGCTGGCGCTGTTGACGCACCTTCACCCGGCCTGTGGCTTCCAGCATCGCTCGTCTTATACATACTGGTCGGCCTCATGCATCGTCGGCAAGGTGCTGGCGCCCACATGCCACGCGCTTGCCGGCTGGGTAGGCCCCGCGCGCCCTTCGCCAGACCTCGCACGCAGTCAGATTGCGCGCGTGCGCTCCCGCAAACCGACAAAGCAGCGCCTCGCGCCGGAGGACATGGCGTCGATGAGCGAGAGGTCCGACCCCCTCGGCCCGCCAGCCGAGGTCTTCCCGGTGAGCGAGTACAAGCTCGTGTCGCCGTCGCACCAAGACAAACTGCCCGACCACAACTGTGTGCGCATAGAGGTACTGGGTTTCAAGCCGGTAGCGGGCGCGCGGGGCGCCGTGGCCGATGACGGCCCCGCGTGGCACGACGCGACGGTGCAGTTCGCCATTGACGGCATCTCATGGCCGTTGCGGCTCACTTTCGACGTGTCGTTCGTCTCGGCGTGGCCGTGTTCTGCGGGGCCGCACCCTCTGTTCTTCGACTACGTCTTCGAGACGGTGCGCGTCGACCGCATCGTCGAGGTCAGAGACTGGGGCGGCTTGTACTACGGCGGACGCGTCGGGAGCAGCGCGCAGGGCCCCGGGAGCGGGAGCAGCGCGCAGGGCCCCGGGAGCGGGATCAGCGAATCGAGCGCCGCGGCGCAGCAGTCTGAAGAGGGCGAGAAGGTGCTCGTCGTCGAAGCGTTTGGCGTCCCGGACAACGAGGTGCTTGCGAGGGCCTGGTGCAGCCACTGGGGGCTGGGGGCTGTTGTCGCGGACGTGGCCAAGACGTGCGTCGGGTGCGCGGTGCGTGAGGCGTACGCGGCGACGCTGACGGTCGTCATTTTGGTGGACGGGCGGCTGAACGAGGAAGAGGAGTGAGGTGCGTGATGCGTGCCACCCTTTTGTATGTGTGCCTGTGTGGCGGCGTTTTGGGTTGTGCTGGGCTGGCAAGTTTTTGGTCGGCGACAGAGAGATACCAGGGCAAGCTGACGGCGTTGGACGGACAATTATGATTACGAATAGATTCTTTAATGACTATGGCACGTTCAATGTGACATGTGTGGACAGAGAAGAAAACCGAATGAGCACCGCCTCGTCTAGAGGAGACCTACCGCTGCGGAGGAGTTGATGGTGCCCCATGTCTGGCATGGCCCCTCTGCCTCAAACCTCATCGCCGACCTTCTTCTTGAAGGCCCTGACAGCCACCTCCCAGAGCTCTCTCCCATCCCCGTCGGCCCAGCGGCTCAGCGTCTCGATCCCCTCGAGATCAGCCCTCATCTCCTCTTCCCTCGTGGTGCCGTCGAGCACGCAGGCGCCGAGGGCCAAGACGAGACCGTAGAAGACAACCTCGCGGCTGACGCGGGCGGCATCCGCGACGCCGCCGACGAACTCGCTGCCGACGAGGGCGGCGTTGGCGGTCAGCGTCCAGAAGGCCTGGTAGACGATGCCGCGCTCGCGGCAAAAGGCGCGCACGGCGGCGTCAAAGGGGGCGCGGAAGCGGTTCTGGACGACGGCGGGGGGCACGGCGGCGGCGGCGCAGATGGCCTCGAGCTGCGGCAGCGTGACGTTGGAGACGCCGAGGCGGTGGGCGGCGCGGGGCACGTGGGCCTCCATGGCGCGCCAGGCGCGCAGCGTGTCGGGCAGCAGGGGCAGGGGCGCGTGCAGGAGGAGCATGTCGACGTGGTCGGCGCCGAGGTGGGCGAGGGACGAGGTGAGCGAGGCGTCGACCTGGTGCTCGAGGGGCGCGTCGATGGGGTACGGCACCGGCGGGTCGAGGTCGTCGCCCGTCGTGGCCTGGTTGGGGCTGAACTTTGTCTGGACGAAGATGGGCTCGCGTGGGACGGGGCCGCTCGTCGCCGCCGACGCCGCCGCCGAGGGGCTGGCGAGGTGCTGCTGGAGAGCGGCGCCGACGAGGTCTTCGCGGTAGTGGAGGGGTTGGGCGGCCGTGTCGACGCCGCGAAAGCCGGAGCGGAGGGCGGCAAGGACGAGGGGCGTCGTCCGGCCCTGCTTCCAGGCTGTGCCGTAGAGGAGTCGTGGGATGGACGGGACTGCCGCGGGGTTCTGAGATGGGTTGAGGGGAAGATTGTCGGCGAGGGGTGGTGGCTGTGACATATTGGCGGGTGGTTTCTGGGGTGAGAAGATTTTCAGATCTGTTGGTTTGTCGTCTCAGGGACCAACTCCTTGAGTATATCCGTGACGAGCTTGTCGGGTCGCTCCTTGACGAAACGACCGTCTATCGCTGGGATTTGAGAGTCAGCCAAGGCAGAGCCGTTCCACGCACTTTCCGTTTTGGGCAGTCGGCGGAGGAGAATGGTACAGAGTATGTAATCTTCGATGCTGGCTAGCTACAAGTGTAGATTCGACCGACATCAAGGTGCCGCGGCTTGAGGCTTGAGACAGGAAGCAAAGGACATGGTATTCTGTAGAGCCCACTCGGCCGGGAAAACGGCCTCAAGGAGAACAAGAGTCAAGCGTCCGTCTGTCAGTCTGCAAGATTGAGTACCGCCAAGACTGTCAGCACGTCTTCGAACCCGGAGCACCTCAGGAAGGCACCGCTCAGGCTTGTGGTCCTTCCTCGTCTTGGGGCACTGTCCTGCCTCGCCTGTCCAGACGGACGAAGCCACTGACAGGCGATGACATCACCGTCACCAGATTACAGATGAGGGGTACCACATGTTGGAGGACGGTTGCGAACGAGGTGAGCTGCTGCTGCCTTTGCAAAGTGTTGCTATTTGACAAACCGGCCATTGATCAAAGGTCTGACACGGAGGAGATAAGGACTGCCTCTGCAAACCACGTTCGAGTTCGCTGATAGCACACTCAACAGTTGCTGGATGATAAATCCATCTAACCTGCCAAGCCTGCATGACTTTTAGCGCGGGGCTACGCGGGTGAGTCGCACGGTGAGGCACTTCTCCTCCGTTTCCCGCTCGATTCCCCCTCTGCTACCGGCATTTACCCGGTTTACACGGCACTAAAAGGGACCTCGATCCTTTTCGATGGAGCTCGCGGAGTATCGGGACTGTGTCCCCCCGCCTCATGATGCCATGGTCTTTGTGTGGAAGGGAGGGCCGGTGGTGATTGTGAGTCTCCAATTCGCTGCTACGTCGCATCGACAACCAGAGCTACCCCGCATGGACGAGGAGCTTCCGACCTAAAATAGGGGACAAGGGCAGCTCTCCATCTGAACGACGACAGCCTTTTCGAGTTCATATCGCTTCTCTGCCTCAGTTCCTACTTGCCCAACAAGTTACTGCCGCGAATCTTCTCGCAATTGTTTCGCTTTTGCGTTCGTCGAGCATATCGTGTGCCGCCATATACCCGACCACAACAATACCCCCACCATGTCTTTCACTCTGCGTTGGGGCATCCTAGCCACCGGCTGGATCGCTGAGAGTAAGTCCTCTCTCGAATCGTCGCCAGGCAGGATAATCATGGCTGACATGAGATCAAGCTTTCAGCAAGGACCTCCTGACAAACCCCGCCACCCGCGATGTGTCCAACGTTGCCCACCGCATCGTCGCCGTGTCCTCGTCCCGCGATGCCCAGAAGGCTCGCGACTTCCTCACCAAGATTGACGGTCCCCAGGAGGCCAAGACGTACGGTTCCTACGCCGAGCTCGTTGCCGACCCCGATGTCGATATCATCTACGTCGCCACCCCGCACTCCCACCACTTCCAGAACGCCATGCTGGCCCTGCGTGCCGGCAAGCACGTCCTCTGCGAGAAGGCTCTGACCGTCACCGCCGAGCAGGCCCGCCGTCTCGTCGCCACGGCCCGAGAGAAGAACCTCTTCTTCATGGAGGCCGTCTGGACCCGCTACCAGCCCCTGAGTCTCAAGGTCCGCGAGCTCGTGCAGGCTGGCGAGATTGGTACCGTCTCCCGCGTCACCGCCGACCTGTCCTTCAACAACGTCGAGGACCATGACACTGGCCGTCTGAGTTTTGCCGACTCGCACCGCATGGTCAACCCTGACCTTGCCGGCGGCGCCCTTCTCGACCTCGGCATCTACTCCCTGACCTGGGTCTTCCAGATCCTCTACCACCTGCAGGCCGCCGACGCCAAGGAGAAGCCTGTCGTCACTGCCGCCCTCAACAAGTACGCCGCCACCGGCGCCGACGACAGCACAGCCATCATCGTCCGGTTCCCCAAGCACAACACTCTCGGCATCGCTACGACTTCGCTGCGCGCCGACACGGACGCCTCGGGCGCCGGCAAGACACCCGGCATCCGCATTCAGGGCTCCAAGGGCGAGATCCAGGTCGCGCACCCGGCGTTCCGGCCCGACAGCTACCGCGTCGTGCGCAAGGGGGCCGCCGAGGGCGAGGTCGAGATCGTCGAGTGCCCGCTGCCCAAGGATGAGTCGCGCGGCGGCTGGGGCCACGGCTTCTTCTGGGAGGCGGACGAGGCGGCGCGGTGCGTGCGCGACGGCAAGGTCCAGAGTGAGGGCATGCCGTGGGAGGAGAGCGTCGTCATCATGGAGGTCATGGATGAGGCGTTGAGGCAGGGCGGCGTCGAGTACCCTGCCCTCATCACGAGCCACGAGTTTGATCCTGAGAGCTCCCTCAACACGGGGCGGTAAGGTCTCCGCAGGTTTCGAGCCGTGAATTGGGCAGCAGCAGTATCAGCTGGTTCTGTAGAGCAGGTCTGGTAGCGAGATCTCAAGTAGGAAAAGATTGCTGCCACCCATCCCTGTCAAATGTCAGCTCTCATTTCGTCGTACTTCATGCGAGCGTACGGGACCTCTCCCTCAGACCTCCTGTATCTCTCCCCCCCCTTTCTCCCCCTCGGATGCCCTCTCCCGAACGCCGACCAGCAGGCGCGCATAGTGAAAAATGCAGCATGACCGCGAGTTCAAAACTGCCGAGACTGACAAGCCAACGTCGTTGGGCAGCCCAGCCAGGCCGGAAGAAGCCAGCTCGTCAATGTCACTGGCAAGGCCGGAGATTAAACGACGCAGGTCTTTCCCCCCCTCCTGCTTTTTTGTCAGAACATGGTTCGCGATCGGCTGGGCCGTCGCGTGCGAACGTCGTGGCCCTGCAATTCGGCTCACCTGAATCTCGCGTGGAGGCCGGGGGGGGACAGGCCGGCGGCCCTGGGCGGGGAGAACCGTGATACGACGTGATGACAGGCAGGAGGTCAGCATGGGGGGGAGGGAACCGAATAGGGCCATGAACGGGGGTTGTACAGAAGTGATGACTGCTGAGAGGAGGAGGAGGGTATGGCGCTATTCGCGGGCCTGTCTACCTAAGGTTGTAGGATGTGATGGATATGGTCGGCCCCCTCCTCCTTCCCCCAGGACAGGGGCGGGGGCTAAGTGACAGCATACCTTATTAGAGAGCATGCCTGTCTGTCATGCTGGCGGGCTGCGAACTGCTGCGGGTGGAGCGAGGGTCTGAGCGCGACGCAGGGTGTGGCTTTAGATGCTTGATCGATTTGGGATGACAAGGGTAGAGAGAGGGAGAGAGAACGCAAGAGGAACAGATGGCGTGCGCATCCAAGGGAAGGGGGGAGAGAGAATAGGCTAGTGGTAGAGGCTAGGAGAGGGCATCCAGGACTCCCGAAATGAAGTCGACGATGATTCAGCGGCAGTGCCGGTATCATCGCGCGGGCTGAGCATAAGGTGCGGAAATGCACCTGAGACAAGTTACATAAGCCGCATCGGACGTCGGCCTCCGACTCCGCCGGTGATACTGTACTTTGGTCGCTAGCATCCGGAGCAGCGCCGGAGCGGGCGCACCAGCCACTGAAGCTCAGTCGCACCCGCTCTGTTCATCAAGTGTCCAACCAAGCGGCTGGAGGGTATGCGAGCAGGAGGGGAGGTGCGAGAAAAAATAGGCAGAGGCAGGCAGGTGCAAGTGGACTTCGGACGCAGCTGCCAAAACGTCAATTACGACACAGGGCCATGGTGGGCTCAGACGCTCCAACATGGACATGACCCCTCCTTCTCCTCCTTACCACGTACCCCTCCCCTGCAGCTTCGCCTGCCATTTCTCTCGCCAAACCTCCATCACTCAGCGCTTTTATTTTCCAAACCCAGATTTCAACAGGCTACCTCTGCTCCCTTGCCTTCTCCCTCGTAGCCGCACACCCACCCCTCCCGAAATTCGTCACTCGATCGTGATTGTGTTGCAGCACCGGGCGGCAAGTCAGTGTCACGTCAATCCTGCTATTCTGGTACCCGTCAAACTGGTTCGTCGGCAGCGGCAGCGGCAACGGCAACGGCTACGGCAGCACGCGCAGAACCTTGAACCTACAACACACAGTTTCTCAATCATACCTAGTGCCAACTCTATCTCGACCACATTCGCTTCTTTTCCTCTGACTCATCATCATTGTCGCTATCATCCACCGTCAGTCATCGAAGCGACAGTCTTTCCAACGGCCTTCCAGCGCTTCGCCTACTATCAGTCCACCCTGGACCTGTCAGAGGCTGGCTGCCCAAAACGGCAACCCCCTCGGAAGCGCAACCATCGGCTGCTGTGGTTCCAACATCGCGGTCGGGCGCGTCGATCACGCGGCTAAGACAGGGACAGGGATTACCCGTCAGGGATCCGAACGGGGCTCGCTTGACCCTGAGTCTTAATTTTCTGATTAAGAACCACAACCAATTTGGAACACTCGCTCAAGGCTATTTGATTTCTTCGCACCTCTAGACCCAGCGCGCTCTTGGCTTGGTCACCATTTACACATACACACCAAGAAAAAGGACCTTGCCGATCTGGTCGCTTCACCCCCACCAGTCTCTGTGGCTGACAGGGTTTCACGATCACCCGGTCGCGAACGAGTCCATAAACGGACAACCAAAGGCTGCCATCATCGTGTTGATGTGTGTCCACCCGCCCATCACCAACAGAGAGGGCCGAGCACCGACACTCATCAGCCCAAGCCCTGTCAAGTGTCAGGCGACTGCCGCCAGATTGAAGGATTGCTTACTCGGCCGTTCGCCCACCCAGGGCCTGGCAAGGGCGTGGCTGTACAAGCACGCAGTAAGGAGCACGAGAAGCTTGAGGACGGGGAACGTACCTCTCCGTGACTGTCTTGAACAGTCGGATATAGCCAGAGCTGAAGCGCGAGAGGTCCGAGGGCGTTAATTTCCTTGTCAAAGCAAGTCAGGGAACCAAAGGGAAAGGAAAGGGACGACCCGACAAGAAGCAAGCCCACCTTGGCCGCCCAACCACCACTTTCTTCGTCCGATCTAGGGCCCACTGCTTGAGGGCAAGGGAAGGACCTTCAGCCTCACTCACCCATTTCCACCTCCAGCCGCCCACGGACCACAAACCGCCAGCCAACATGTCGACAGACACGGCAGCGGCAGCTGTGGCATCACAGGCCCCTACAGCCCCGGCATCTGAAGATACGGCCGCCACCTACGAGTCTACCCACGTTCACGCCGTCTATGAGGCCATTGCTCCCCACTTCTCAGCCACCCGCCACAAGCCTTGGCCTCGTGTCGCCTCCTTCCTCGATTCACTGCCCGCTGGTGCGGTAGGTCTGGATATTGGATGCGGCAACGGCAAGTATCTCGCCGTGAGCCCACACCTCCATCTCCTAGGCTCCGATCGCAGCGCCAACCTCGTCGCCCTCGCCCGTGACAACACCGGCGGCAGCGGCGCGCCCCCGAAGAAGGCTAAAGGCGACGGGCCTCCCGTCGAAGTGACCACCACAGGCCCTTCGGCACGGCGCAACCAGGTCATCGTCGCCGACTCGCTGACTCTTCCCTACCGCCTCTCCTCCGTCGACTTTGCCCTCTCCATCGCCGTCCTGCACCACCTCTCTACACCGTCCCGTCGCCGCGCCGCCGTTCGCGCCATCCTCGACACCCTCGTCCCCGCCAACGGCAAGGCCCTCCTCTTCGTCTGGGCCCTGGAGCAGCGCAACTCTCGCCGCGGCTGGGACGCCTCTGCCCCGCAGGACCAGCTCGTCCCCTGGGTCACGAAAGCCAACCAGCCTAAGCGCGACGCCGCCGTCGAGTCGGTAGCAGAGGAGAAGCCGGACGAGACGTGGCACCGTTATTACCACCTCTACAAGGAGGGTGAGCTCGACGCTGACATTCAAGCTGTCGGTGGTGTAGTGCTCGAGAGCGGGTACGAGAGGGATAACTGGTGGGCCATCTGCTCGCGGGGGCCTGAAGAAAGGTAAACGGTACCTTAACCTTCTGTCTTGGTTTCTACAAAGAATCTCGCGTCAGAGGAGGAAGCCTGGAGATGAAACAAAGGGAATATAAAAAAAAGAGTTGGGGGAATCTAATGATCATCTCGCCGCTTCACGTCCGCGGCCTGCGT